TCAACTTTTGCAGGGAGGACTCACTTTTGTATTTCTTATTAGTTCAGGTCCACTAGCATAAACTTTTTTCAGGCGTTGTGAAGATTTTAGTTTATCTTTATTTTTGTTGAATATAGAGTTACTGTTTGACAGGAATACCCATCCCCCTTCTCTTTAAATATACCATTCCTGTTGCTTATAGCTTAGCATAACTATGTGTGAAAAGTCAGATTTTTTCTTTTTTTTTCCTTCTATTGAAAATAGATTCTTTTCTCACACAATATACCCTGATCATAGTTACCCATCCCTGACTCCTCGCAGTTCCTCTCCACCTCCCCTGTTATCTGGATCTATTCCCTTTCTGTCTCTCATTAGAAGAGAACAGGCTTCTAAGAGATTGCAGTCAAACATGACTCTCTCTCTCTCTCTCTCTATATATATATATATATATATATATATATATATATATATATATATATATATATATATATATATATATATAAAGGATAGAGCAAAACCCATCACATTGAGATTGGACAAGGCAACCAAACGGAATAGAGTGCCAAGAGCAGGTACAAAAATCAGAGACCCACTCATTCACACACTCAGGAGTCCCATAAAAATACTAAGCTGAAAGTTATAATATATACACAGAGAACCTGATGCAGACCTGTGTAGGCTCTGTGCTTGCTGCTTCAGTCTTGGTGAGTTCTTATGCTCCCTGCTTATTTAAATCAGAGAGTTTTGTTCTCCTGGTGTCCTCCTACCCTCTGGCTCTTAAAATGTTTCTGCCTCCTCTTCCACAGTGTTCCCTGAGTTCTAAGGGGAGGGATTTGATGAAGACATCTCATTTAGAGCTGTGTGTTCCAAGGACTCTCTCTCCATGTAATGCTGGGCTGTGAAGCTCTGCATCTGCTCCCATCTGCTGCCAGAGGAAGCATCTCTGATGATGGCTGGATAAGGCACTGATTTATGTGTATAGCAGAATATCATTATGAGTCATTTTATTATTAATTTTTTTTTTAGACCAGGAGTGTTTGGCCTTACCCTCGAGCTCTAGGTTATCTAGTCTCTGGTTCTTGGTCACCCAAGCACCGTCAGGTATGGGTTCCATCTTGTGGAGCAAGCCTTAAGTCAAATCAGACGTTGGTTAGCTAGTCTCACAAATTCTGTGCCACCATTGCCTCAGTGATCTTGCAGGGAGGACAGATTGTAGGTCAAGGGTTTGTGGCTGGGTTGGTGTTTGTTTCTCTTTTGGAAGCCTACAGAGTATCTTCCAGCATCAAAGACACTAAAAGGTAGGGATGAAGGCTCCATGTGGGCACCAGGTCATCTTCTCTGTGTTCAATGAGTTGAGTGGGTGTTGTTCTTGGTAATGGGGCCCAGATGTCAGTTTTCTGAGAGCAAACCATTGTCTTAGCTACAGCCTGAATTGTTTGAGAATTTCGATGTAACCCCCTTAGCCAACAACTCAGTTGAATGTAACCCAGTCCCACTAACTGGAAGACTCATTTGGTGACAAGAGATGGCCAATTGGGACTCTATATCCTCCACTATTAGGAGACCTCATCTGAGATAACCTTCATATATTTAAGGAAGTTTCCACGGCACTAGGTTTTCATATCATCCTTAAAATGCCCCTTCATTCCATCTGTCTCTGTACACTCTCTCCCTCAACCCTACTTCCCCCTCCCTCCCTTATCATCTCACTCCTGTCCCCACCCACCACCAGTCCACCTTAAAATCTTCTAGTTTCCTTTCCTAGGGAGATCCACATGTGCCACTCTATGCCTGACCTCTCTGGGTCTACAGATTGTAGGTTGCTTATTATTTATTTAATTGCTAATAGCCATATATACATGAATACATACCATATTTATCAGACTGGGTCTGGGTTACCTCACTCAGGATGATTTTTTTTTTCTAGTTCCGTCCATTTGCCTGCAAATTTCATGATGTCATTTTTTTTTTTTTTTTGCAGATCTAATAAGTTTATTCTGGGAGTGTGTGTACATTTTATAATATTTCTTAGAGAGTTTCTTGATGTCATCATAATTTCCCCCTCCACAAATCACAGCTGTGGAGTTCCCCTTATATGTTCATCATGAGATGTGAATTGGGTAAACTCTAGATTCAAGCAAAGCCAACAACCTTTGTTCATCTTGCCCTCTTTTCTGGTTACAACCAAGCCTATCACAGACTCTCTTGCTGCCCTTCATATCCATGCTCTCCTCTTACACAAGTATTTCAGTCAGGATACTATTGTTGTAATACAACACCATAACTAAAAGAAAATTGGGGAGAAAAGGGTTATTTTCTATCATTCTTTATCACATGATGTCATTTTCTAAACAACTGAGTCATAATCCATTGTGTAGATGTACCACATTTTCTTTATCTATTGAACAGTTGAGAGACATCTAGATTGTTTCCAGTTTCTGGCTATTAAGAATAAAGCAAGGGTCTTTGTGGTAGTATGGAGCATCTTTTGGGTATATGACCAAGAGTGATATAGCTGGGTCTTGAGGTAGATTGATTCCCAGTTTTTTGAGGAACTGCCATATTGATTTCCATAGTGACTATACAAGTTTACACTCCACCAGCAATAGAGGAATGTTCCCATTGCTCCACATTCCCACCAACATGAGCTGTTACTTGTGTTATTGATCTTAACAGTTCTGACAGGTATAAGATGGAACTTCAAAGTCATTTTGATTTGCATTTCCCTGATGGCTAAGGATGTTGAACATTTCTTTAAGTGTTTCTCCGCCATTTCAGATTCCTCTATTGAGAATTCTCTGTTTAGATTTGTACCTCATTTTTTAATTGGATTATTTGGTTTGTTGATGTCTTTTTTCTTGAGTTCTTTATATAATTCAGATATTAGCCCTGTATTGGATATGGAGTTGGTAAAAGTCTTTTCCTGTTCTGTAGACTGCCTTTTCTTTCATTGACAGTGTCCTTTGCCTTACAGAAGCTTTTCAGTTTCATGAAGTCCCATTTATTAATTGTTGTGCCTGCTCTATCGATGTTTTGTTCAGAAAGTCTTCTCCTGTGCTGATAAATTCAGGGCTATTCCCCACTTTCTCTTCTGTCAGGTTCAGTGTATCTGGTTTTATGGTGAGGTCTTTGACCCTCTTAGACTTGAGTTTTGTGTACGTTGATAGATACAGATCTAGTTGCATTTTTCTACATGCAGACATTAGTAGCATTAGTTGAAGATGCTGCTTTTTATCCAGTGTGTATTTCTGGCATCTTCATCAAAAATCAGGTGTTCACAGATATATGGATTTATAACTGGATCTTCAATTTGATCCCATTGATCAATGTGTCTGTTTTAATGCCAGTACCATGTGATTTTTATTATGATAGCTTTAGCTATCCTCAGTTTTTTGTGTTTCCATATGAAGTTGAACTTTCAAAGTCTCTAATGAATTCTTTTGGAATTTTAATGGGAGTTGCATTGAATCTGTAGATTACTTTTGATAAAGTGGTCGTTTTTACTATATTAATCCCACTGATCCATGAGCTAGGACAATCTTTCCTTCTGATATCTTCTTCAATTTCTTCACAGACTTGAAGTTTTTATCATACAAGTCTTTCACTTGCTTGAGAGAGCTACCCCATGGCATTTTACATTATTTGAGGCTATTGTGATTTCCCTGATTTCTTTCTCAGTCCATTTGTCATTTGTATATAGAAAGGCTACTGATTTTTTGTGAGTTAATTTTGTATCCAGTGAGTTCCCCAGTGGAATTTTTAGGGCCACGTACATTTACTATCATATCACCTGCAAATAATGATACTTGTCTCCTTTGTATTCAATTTGTATCCCTTTGGATCTCCTTCAGTTGCTGTAGCTAAGACTTAAAGTATTATTATATAGGATAGTTTTGGGGAGACTGGACAACCTTTTCTTATTCCTGATTATAGTGGAATTGCTTTGAGTTTTTCTTCATTTAATTTGATGTTGACTATAGGCTTGCTACTGCCTTTATTTTGTTGAGGAATGTACTTTGTATCTCTAAGGACTTTTATCATGAAGGGGTGTTGGGTTTTGTCAAAGGCCTTTTCTGCATCTAATGAGATGATCATAGTTTTTGTCTTCCAGTTTGTTTATATGATGGAGTGTATTTATTGATTTTTGCCTATTGAACCATCCCTGCATCTGTGGGATGAAGCCTAGTTGATCCTGGTGGATGATGTTTTTGAAGTGTTCTTGGATTTGGTCTGCAAGTATTTTATGTATTTTTGCATTTATGCACATAAGGCAAATTTTGTATTATTTAGATTGTTTATCTAGTTTATTGAGACATCTTCATAAATGTATGTCAAAGTCAAGTCCTAAGTTCTAAGAATACTTTTTAACTGATCTGTTATAATATTATAACCTGGGTATATTCTGTGTTTGGATGCCATAAGTATATCATCTAAAAATCTTAGAAATGAAATCTGAGGTATGAAAGTTAGTTTCAACCTTATTGACAGAAATGAGTCAAAATTTTCTTGATCAACAGTTTTAGGGGAGCTAATGGGAACTGAAAATACATGTGATATCTTATATCTTATCTTCCATACAATTGCTCATTTGAAATTTAGAGAAAACTTAATTTTAGGGTCTGACTTCCCCCATATATAAAATAATAGTTACTTTATTTAAATTTAGATAGGTCTTTTAAATGTTTCTATATGCAAGGAAATCATACAATTTGAGAATCTGTTATTAAATACATGGTAATGCCTCATTTTGTTGGGTTTACAGTTATTTGTGTTATTGCTTATTGGTACAAATTTAGGTAACAACCAAAGAGCTTCCTCATTCTTAGATTATATTAATTAAAAGGTATTTTGATATTAAAAGTGAGTAAATTGGCAATGAAGTATTACTGTGATAGAATTTAGATGGATGGTAATAGTGATTGTGGTAAGGTTTTCTAACTTTTTTATACCTAGTAGGGCTTTAATTTAAAGATCCATTTGTTAAAACTGACCTGTAAATGTCTCTTATGGTTGATTTTTAGCCACCAGCTGAGCAGGCCAAAGCCAGACTACAATTGGTTCTTGAAGCTGCTGGTAAGTGTTGAAAATTAACTTTTATGAAATAAAAAAATAAATCTTAGGCTGGTAGCCTACTTACACGAGTCAAAGTTTTTTTCCTGGTTTTGAAATTCTCACAGATCTAGATTATATGTTTAGATCTACATTATATGTTTGGATGTATGTTACCTTTTTATTGCTAATATAAAGCAGTATCTGCTAAAAAGTCATTCTTTACATATTTATGGTAAAACAGGCATTAGTTTTAATGTTCAATTTTAATGAAATCCATGTTGATTTTCATCTTTTATGGATTGTACTTTTGGTGAAATGAAAAAAATTCTTTAGCTCTAGATCATGATTTTTTTCTGAAATTTACTTCTGGGAGTTTTTAAATTTTTGTGATTCTTATTTAAGACTATGATCTATTTGTACTTAACTATTGATTAAGACTTCCATTATTTTGGAGAAAATGAGGTCAGTGCTATTTCAAATTCCTGTAATTACTAATTCATTGGACTATATGTTCTGTTGCCATCTAATCTTAAAATGCCATGTTTAATTTCCCAGTTGTAGTTTCACAAAGACATTTATTTAACTCTTTAAATATGTCTAAACATCATGGTGTTTTCTACATACTGATAATTTAACTTTAAATCTTAATGTACTCCTTGCAATATGTGTGTGTGTATGTATGTGTATGCACGCATGTATTATTTACCTTTTAAGGGTTTACAAAGAGCTTATACATTGCAGTTTGACAAATTGAGGATTCAATGATAATTTCAGACTACCAAATAACAGATATTATATTTTTAAGCAAATATATATGTACATATTGACTCAAGGATCTCTTGTATTAGCTATTGTTACTATAAATTACTATAGAAATAACTTTTTGAGATTATAGGGTATTAATATATTGGATAGGTTTTTATAAAGTGTGTTCAATTGCTTTATGAAAACTTTAAACTACTTTTCATTATCACTTCATTTATCAGACTGCTGATTTTCATGCTACTACAATGAGTAGAATGCTATATAATACTGTAATGTTTTATATTTCTTTGAAAAGTATCCAGTGTTACTTTTAAGGATACCATATGGCCTCTGAAGGAAAGTAAATGGCTGGGTGGTGTGGAATGTTAGTAAACATACAAACATGGAGTGGGGAAGAGGAAGAACCTGAGATCAGCCTGGTTAAGACAACCTCTTAATAGTTTCTTCTCCTCTTCCTTGTTTCTGACAACCACCAACCTGCCTTCTGTCTCTGAGATGTCCTGGGACTAGAGCCATATGTAATATGTTGATGTTTAGATCTGTCATGTGGTCTATTTTGGAATCATATATATGTTATAACACACCGGTAATTCATTTCTTTTATGGTTGAAAAATATTTGTGTACAATTTGCATATGCATTCATCCAGTGATAAACACTTGAACTCTTTCTGTTTTTTTTAGTATTGTTGAATAATGTTATAAACCCACACAAACTAATCTGAGCCCCTGCTTTTAGATTCTGAGAGTACTTTCAGAAAAGAATAATTGTGAGATCATTAGGCAATTCTTCAATTCTTTAAAACCCCAACAATTTTCCCTCATAAACAAATGATTTTGTATTCTCAACTGCAATATGCAAATGGTTCCGTGTTGTATCAATCAGAGATTATTACACATTTAAGTAAGCTGTTTGAAAGTCTTTAGGTTTGGAGATTTTCTATGTCATAAATCCATCATCAGTGAGAGGTAAGGATGGTAACTGTCTTGCAGGGTTATTGTGACAACAAATACTTATAACATACAAAGTGCCTAATCCTAGCTCATGCTAGGATTTTTGTGGTAAGCAGTGCTGCATGATTATGTCTCAGGCACCATTTCATAATGCTATTTCTTTGCTAAAAATTATCCAGTGTTTCTCAATGCAAAAACAGTTTTATACCTGTTTCTGACCCTTTAGATTCTGTGCAACAGATCCACACACTGTCATTTTAATTGAGAAATTTTTGATAGTATGTTCTGATTTTCATTTCTCCTTCCTCATCCCCTCTCAGATCCTCCCACCCATCTAACTCCATGCCTTCTTTCTCTTGCTCTAAAAACAAACAAGCCAATTTTAAACAACAAACTAGAATTTAAAACAAATTAATGAAATAGAAAACATAGAAAAAAGCATGAGAAACACACACATAAAATCACCATATCCCAAATCATAATATATAAACCAAAGAACAGTGAGATTAAAAAAAAAATACCCAAACAAGTCATTATGAGACAAAACATCTCTGAAGCATTCATTTTGTGTTGGCCATCTACTACTGGGCATGGGGCATGACACTAAGAATGCTTTGTATACTCAATGGGATTCTTTTGGAGAAAACTGATTTTTCTTTGAGAATGGGTGACACTAGGAGACAGCGTCTGGGTTAGGGATGGGGGCTTGTGTCCACTTTCCCTCTTAATGCTGGCATCCCATCTGGCTTAGACCTGCACAGGCCCTGTGCATGCTGCCATAGTCTCTGTGAGTTCTCATGTGCATTGGTTCAGGTGTGTTTAGAAAGCCTTGTTTCCTTGGTGTCTTTCATCTCCACTGGCTATTTATAATCTTTCTGCCTGAGAGGAAAGTTTAAGATAGATAGATAGATATTCTCTCCCTCCCTCCCTCCCTCCCTCCCTCTCCCTCTCTCTCCCATCTCCCCTCTCTCCTTATCCCCCTCTCTCTCCACATTGTCCAGTTGTCGGTCTCTGTATTAGTTCCTATATCCTGGAAGCTTCTCTGATGAGGGCTGAACAAGACACTGATCTGTAGATATAGTAGAATGTCATTAGGAACTATTTTATTGCTATATTCCTTTAGCAGAGCAGTAGTATTTGGTTTTCTCCTAGGTCCACGACCTATCTAGTCAGGTTTTTAGCCATCCTAGCAGTGCCAGACATGGGTTCCATCTCATGGAGTGGGCCTTAAATCCAATCAGGTGTTGGTTGGTTACTCCCACAAGCTTTGTACCATTATTGTAGCAATCTATCTTACAGGTAGTGACTAGTGTAGATCAAAGGGTTTGTAGCAGGGTGGTGTTTCCCTTTCTCCTCTGGTATCATGCAGAGTATCTTTCAGCACCATGAACACTAGCAGTAGGGTTGACGGCTCTAGGTAGGTGCTAGCACCACCTCTCTCCATTCAGGGAGCTGTATAGGTGTTCTCTTCAACACCAGGGTCTTACCCTCAGTTTGTGGAAAGCAACAATAGTCTTGGCAATTGCCTGCCTTGATTGGGGGTTTCCATCGGGCTTCTTTGACCAACAATTCAATTAGATGTAACCCATTTCTGGCACTGGAAGATTCACTTGATGGCAAGAAATGTCTAGTGGAGAATTTTTCTTCCCCATTATTTGGTGATTCCATTTATATTCCTGTCATATATGTATATATTTTAAGCAGTTTAACTGTATTTGTTTCCATATGATTTCTCAAATGACCCTCAGTATTAGCTGTCACTCCCCCATTCCCCCCTTAACCCCTTCTTCCGTTCATCTCTCCATTTAGTACTCCCTCAATTGGAAAAACCTTCCCTCCTTCCCTTGCTCTGTACTCAGCCTCGGTGGTTATAGGGATTGCAGCATGTCTGTAAAAGTCTTAAAAGCTGACATTCACATATATGAGAATACATGCCGTATTTGTCTTTGGTTGGGAATTTCTCACTCGGGATGATTTTTTTTTTTTTTTCTGGCTCCATCCATTTACTTTCAAATTTTATGGTTTTGTTTCTTTTAACAGCTGAGTAATATTCCATCGTGTAAATGTACTACATTTTCTTGATCCATTCATCTGTTAATGCACATCTAGGCTTTTTGAAATTTCTGGCTATTATGAATAGAGCAAAAATGAACACAGTTGGACAATTGTCTCTGTAGTAGAATGTAGAGTCCAAGAGATTAACAACCTCTAAAAAATTCATTTCTTAGATTTCATAACTGTAACCTGAATTGCCTATGTTCTTTTCTACCTGGAACTTTTTGCTCCTCTTTTGTTTCTATTTTCTCCTATTCACTCTCTCTACTAGTTTTTTTTTTCTCTATCATAACACCCTAATAAAACTGCAGCTATTAATCTCTGAAATATAAGTCATTTGTGGAGAACTGATCATCTGAAGTTGTAAACCTTTGCATACTTGTGTGCTGTGGAAATTAGAAGCGAAGTTATTCAAGAGACTATGAATAGAAGTATCATATTACCCAGAGTATATACTGGAAGGACTTTAATGAGTACCACAGACATACTTGCACTTCTGTATTCATTACTGCGTATTTCATGATAGTCAGAAATGGACCCGGCCTACATGTTGGTGGATTAATAGACAAAGAAAATGTGATATGTATACCGGGGAATTTTAATTGGCTGAAAAAAAAAATGAAATCCTGACATTTGCAAGAAAATGGGTAGAACTGGGAATGTTAAGTGAAACAAGCAGACTCAGCACAATACCATATTATATACAGAACATAAAGTTAAAATTATATACATGTGTATATTAGCATATATGTATTTAGATCATGAAGCTAGAATGGTGGTCATGAGATTGTGGGAAGAAATCCTAATGTGGGGATGCAGAGAAAGTAATGGATGCATGTGACCTGAAAGGAGAATGGGGTGCCTGCCTGTCTAAGGGACGGGAACCAACCAGGCAGGCGACTGACTGAGGCAAAGTCAAATGGCATGTATGCAGGAAATGCCCCAGTTGCTCAGACTTTATATTCTCACCTACACAGTAAAGTTAAAAGCCTCACAAATATTTAAATGCTAATTAAAACTGATGCTGAATTTTGTGATGTTCCAAACATTAAAGTTTTTGATGACTATTGATATACTGTGACTTTATAAATGTAAACTTTAAGTTAATACATGACAGAAATATTATGAATAGTACTTTATCATCTAAATAATGTTTATGACACTTTGAATTGTGTCTAAAGTTTTCAAAGTGCTTTTATAAATCCTTTATCTTAGATAATTAACACCATTTTGCAAGTATCATGAAAAT